GTTTTCTTTTCCTCAAAGCAAATACCATTATAGATATACCATTAGATACTTGCAAGGTAGTACTAGAATATTATTAAATATCTGTTAGAGCAACTAAAATCAAATTTTGGTAAGGATATGGAGCAGCTGGAACTCTCATATATTACTCATGGCACTGCAAACATGACACCGTACTTTGGGAAACTGGCAGTTTCCTGTGAAGTTAAATATTTGGGGAACCCCCCCAACGCCTGGCATTTATTTATAAATAATTGTTTATTCTTACATGTTTAAACTTTAGTCACTTTCAAAATACTCTTCATATGATGCAATCAATACACCTATCAAGATGCTTTTTTCACTGCTCAAAACAGTTTCTGAACTCATTAGTTTTGATGCTTTTTAGTGCTTCTGCCATTTGTTGTTTTATCTCTTCCATGTTGGCAAAATGTTCCCTTTTGAGGATTTTTTAAATCCAGGGAGGCACAAAAAGTTCCAGACAATATCAGGTGAATAGGGAGGGTGGGGCATGTGTGTCATGCTTTTTTTGATCAAAAACTGCTGAACATTCAGTGTAGTATGGGCAGGTGCGCTCATAAATTACCCATCACAAAATGGGCAAATATGTTGAAAAGATCTCCAAAAGAAATTTACTGAAGACAGACAGCCTCTCTTGACAATGCTGTCTGATACAGTGATGCTGATGGGTTCCTAGAACACTTATCTGGGGGGCGGGGGGAAGCCTGTACTACAAGGGGTCCATCCTTCAAAAAATAATTCTCTTTTTGGGGGGGGTTCTTCCCTTGTATATTTACCATAAGACAAAGCAGTCCTAACTAACTCCTTGGCATTTGCTTAAGGGAAATGAAAACACATGCCTACACAAAGACCTGTATAAGTCCATCAGTTTTTGAGTAGATAAACAAATTGTGGTACATCTGTATAATGGAATACTACTTAGTAGTGAAAAGGAACAAACTACTGATACAGCAACATGGGTGAATCTTAAAGGCATTATGATATGATGAAGTAGAACAAAAAAGACTGCATATTGTATGATTCCACTTACGTAACATGGTAGGACAGACAAAACTGTAGGGCAAGACAACAGATGAGTTGTTTGCAGTGCTGGGTGAAGGAGGAAGGAATTGACCACAAAGGACACGGGGAACTTTTGGGTGTGGTGAAAGTGTTCTATATTGTGACTGTGGTAGGAGTTAACATGATTGTGTAACGTTTGCCAAAACTTACAGAGCTGTACACCTAAAATGGATAAATCTTTCTATATTGTTATTTTCTAGCTGTACTCAAGTAATGTTAAAAAATAACATGCTAATTTTCTTCTTTTGCAGAGTATTGCACTCTACATACTTGGTGATGAGAGCTCTGTTTTTTGATGAAGTTTCACAATATTTATCCAGAATAACTATAGGTAAGATGGTATAACATTAGACCCTTCAAAATAAATTTTTACCAATGTCAAAACCATAATTGAAATTAAAAACTTAAAATTTAAAAAAATATTTCCTTTAGAGGCCATGTCTTCTCTCTAGTACTGTTCTAGTCTACAGTTCACAACTGACTCTCAGATACCAGGATTACTTAAAATCTAACAAATCTTATATTTTCGGTGTGCCTAAAAAGGACTTTTTTAGCTTCAAGGAAATTATTATACAATTGAGACTTTGAATCGCACGGGTCACTTTATGTGAATTTTTTCCAACCAAATGCATATTGAAAATACTTTAGTCTCAGGATGTGAAACCGTCTAGCAGGTTCCACAGGGCCAGCTGTGGGATTTGAGCATGCATGGATTTGGTTAGAAATATGTGGGAAGTCCTGGAACCAATCCCCCATGTATACTGAAGGACAGCTGCACCTTCCAGCCTGCCACAGTTCTGTTTATTGATTTTTAGGAGTTACTTGTTAATTAATTCCTATTTCCAAATGTCTTCTACATGTTGTGTATTTTCTTTACCAGGATGCTTATCAAAATAAAGTTTCATTTTGTTTCCTTTTAGCCCCCCAGAAGTCACAAGCAGAGCAAGAGGAAAATAGGTGACTTCTATTCATATTGTGATTTTATATTGAAAATTTAGAGCAATTACGTTTTACTGTTCTATTTAATAAATTTGTATTTTATTCTTGTATAGGTTTAGTTTTAGGCATTCTGCATCAGTTTCTAGCCTAGCTGAAAGATTGGTTGTCTGGATGGCTAATGTCGGTAAGAGCTTCTTTGTTAACTCTTTGTTAGGCCCTGTTTTCTCTGGACTAGCTAGAACTGGGAGGCATGAGGAGAGAGGGGCTCTGGCTTTAGGAACGGCCTCAAAAGGTTGAAATTATGATTTATCAAGCTGTATTTCCTTTTTCTCACAATCACACAACTAATAATACAATAATATTTGGGATACCAGCATATTTATTACTCCTCATTGTGTAAGAAATCTTTGTTATTCACCTCAGACCAGTCAAGACGGTGTCTATGTAAACTGGTCTTAGAACAGAGAACTCTAATCACTACATATTCAAACCTGAAGTCATTGTGGTACTCAGATATCAGAAATAGTATTTCTGACAAAGTCTAAAGGCAACTGTATAAACATTTCAGTGTATGCTTTTGAAGGATAAAGGCCAGGGATTTTAGGCACCAAGATGGGCATTCATCTGGGAAGGGGAAAATGGAGGAAAAGTCCTCTGTATTCCCTATTCTCAAAACCTGTGCTCCTAGGTTTTAAATTAAGTAGAGTGCTAAAGAATTTTTTTTCACAAATAACTGCAAAAAATAAAAATTACTGATATTAAGATATGACTAAAAAATGAGGATGACATAAAATACAATGTTAAAAAGTAATGCTTTAATGAATTACAGGATGTTTCTGAATTCTGAATAAAGTATGTTCCAAATGGAGTTCTTCACAATTCCTGTTTGTATGCCACTATGAAAATGGCAGTAACTGTCATATAGTGTACATACAGAATATCTGTGTCTCCCAAAATTGAATGAGTTCTGTCCATTTGTAGATCACATAATATGTTATTCCCATATCAGGAAACATTTTTTTGCCTCAGTAGTTAATCTTTTTATATTATAAAAATTGCATAATACTGTAAAATGTAGCAAATCACTACAGGAAAATAAATCTTAATGAACTTGAGGATTTAAAAGAAATTTAAATATGTAATATGTTATACATACAGAAGAATGTAAAAAATGCATATGCTTAGTTTAGAGAATGGTATTAAGGTGAATGTTGATATACTAGTTACCCACCCTTAGAAACAAAACATTACCAGCATAGTAGAAAACCTCTGTGTATTAGCTCTTGGTGGTCGCCTCCTCCTGCACACCTCACTGCTCTAGGTAACTACTACCCTACCTACATTTTGTATTACCATCACCCTGTTTTTCTTCAGTTTCACACTTTTATATGTTGCTTAGTCTTGTATGTTTTTGAATGCTATGTAAATATATAGATGTAATATATGTTTTTCTGTCTTCTTCACTCAACATTCTTTTTTAAAGATTCATCCATTACGTTGTAGTAGCAGGAGATTATTTTCTCTGTAGATTCATTCTCTTGTTTGGCTGTATCACAATTTAATTATTCATTCTATTGATGATAGATAATAGGACTCACCCCCTTACCCATCACTTTTTTTTGTGGCCATGATGAAACAGTGTTGCTAATGAATATTTTTATACTTGTGTCCTGGTACACATGTGTTCAAGTTTCTGCATGGCTGTTGGTGGACTAAAGGGGTGGGCCTATATACCAACTGTCTTCCAAAGTGGTTGTACCAGTTTACACGGCCATCAGCTGTGGATGAGAATTACTGTTGCTCTACATAATTGCCAACACTTGGTAATGACTGACCAGTAAGCTTAATTTGCATTTTCCTGGCCATTCATCAGGAAGAGCACTTTTTCATATGTCTGTTGGCCATTTTTGCTTTCTCTTCTAAGAAATGTCTTTTTGTCCTTTGTATTTTTCTGTTGGGTTGTCTTTTTTCCCTTGGGTTTTTTGTTTGTTTGTTTTTTAAAGCAGGATTTACTGAGAGGACAGAAAAGCTCCCATAGTGGGAGAGGACTGAAGGGGTTGCCACTTCCTTTGGTTTTTTTGTTTTTTTTTTTGAGTTGGAATCTCACTCTGTCGTCCAGACTGGAGTGCAGTGGCCGCCCCCGGCCACCGCAGCCTTGACCTGCTGGGCTCCGGCGGTCCTTCCGCCTCAGCCTTCCAAGTAGCCGGAATTACAGGCATGCGCTACCATGCCCGGCTGATTTTTTGATTTATTGTAGAGATGAGGTCTCGCTGCCCAGGCGGGTCTCGAACCCGCGGGCTCAGGCAATCCACTGACCTCAGCCTCCCAAAGGCGCGGGATTACAGGCTGAGCCACCGAGCCCTGCTCCTTTGGGTTTTTAGGAGTTCTTTAATGAGACCTTTTATTGTTTTGTCTTGTTTTTAGAGACAGGGTTGCCTTCTGTCATCCTGGCTGGAGTTGAGTGGCACAATCACTGCTCACTGTAGCCTCGACCTCTGGGGTTCATGCCATCCTTCTGCCTCCGCCTCCTGAGTAGCTGGGACTACAGGTGCACACCACCATGCCTAGCTAACTTATTTTATTTTTTTCCATAGAGATGAGGTCTATTGTGCTGCCTAGTCTGGTCTCAAATTCCTGGGCTCAAGCATTTTTCCCACCTTGACCTCCTAAAGTGCTGGGATTACAGGCATGAGCTACCACACCCAACCTTTTTTTTTTGAGCTGGAGTCTTACTCTGTCATCCAGGCTGGAGTGCTGTGGCACACATCGCAGCCTCAACCTCCTGGGCTCAGGCAATTCTTCCACTGCTGTCTTCCAAGTAGCTGGGACTACAGGTACGTACCACCACCCCAGCTAATTTTTTGACTTATTGTAGAGACACGATCTTGCCAAGTTGCCCAGGCTGGTCTTGAATCCCTGGGCTCATGCAGACCTCAGGCTTCAACCACTGCGTTTGGCCCTTTTTTTTTTTTTTTTTTAAAGTGGAGATGAGGTCTTGCCTTTTTGCCCAGTCTGGAGTGCAATTATGTAATCATAGCTCACTGCAGCCTCTATTACCTAGGCTCAAGCAATCCTTCTGCCTTAGCCTCCCAAGTAGCTGAGACAACAGGTGTGTGCAACCATGCCCAGCTTACTTTTTAAATTTTTTTGTTTTTGTGGAGATGAGGTCTTGCTACATTGCTCAAGCTGATCTCAAACTCCTGACCTCAAGTGATCCTCTTGCCCCAGACTCCCAAAGCTCTGGAATTATAGGTGTGAACCACTGCACCTGCCCTAACAGGACCTTTTATATTAATCTCTGTTGTGAAGACTTAAGTTTGG